TTGTCTTATACGCACTATGTGTATTTTAGCCTTTAAAAACTAGTTTCSTTGTTACAACCTCTTCAGTTTGGCTAGAACAGATAGTTTTCAGTTACCGGATCAATTGAATTTTTTAAATTTTTTTCATTTTTTTATTCAACTTTCACTGGAAAAAGCCTAATACGGTTTTTGGCAATGCTGGATGAATTGATGTACCGTTGTTTTTGTTTTTGTTTTTGTTTTTAATCTGAAGTTTTTAAAAACTTCATTTGGATAGAATAGACAAATAGTTGATGCAAAAGTTCGGGCTCTCTGAAGAATCGGTTCCGAGGAGAATTCCTCAGAAATTCTCATCACTTTGAAATAGGTATAGAAATAATCTGTTTTACTACAAGGTTTGCATAATGAAGTAAAATATCGAGTGACTCATTCTGGGGGCGGCCAGATTTTGTGGTAACACACGGTCATTGTCGCTTGCTCTGATGTGATTTTTTGTGGCCAGTCATTTTTGCTTAAACCAGTGCAGCTCGGTTTAGATCGGCTATTTTCTTCAGGTCCAAGGTCGTCTGTCAGTGGCAACGATTCATTCTATTGAGTATTATTTTTTCTTTTAGAATGTCAAGTTAGCGAGAAGTAATGCAGAAAAAAACAAAAAAACAAAAAAACAAAAAAACAAAAAAAAAAACAAAACAAAAAAAACAGTGCCTTTTATTTTTCGAGCTTGACCAATATTTCTATCCAATCGGTTGGTCCTTTTCACATAAGCCGGTTAGTGTTAGGTAGCCGTGTTTCAAGTCTTTGAGTATTATCCCTTTCTTTTGCTAAGCCTAGCTATAACCTAAACTTGTAAGTATCTAGCTTAATCAGGCGAGGAATGATTCAATCTTTATCTAGGGGCAACCGATGAATAACCATTGGTGTTTTCAGTTTTCTCTCGTTTCATGCTCTTGAGTAGTACTTCTTTCTTTCTTTTTTTGCGAGAAACTAAAGTACGAATTAAATGATATTGATTCATAACTTGATCTTTTGTCTTTAATCTTGGTCTTTAATCTCCTTGAATATATATATATTTTAATGGAATTTCAACTCAGTGAGAAAGCTCGAGTGTAAAGACATCTTACCAAAAATTTTTGTATCGAAAAACATGTTTTCAATATATTTAAGTTGCCACAAAAATTCAACAATTGAAATGGCGTGGAGGAAAAAATCAGAACTTGTGTTCCACTTGATATTTAACCTGTCATAACTTTTCTTCTAAAAGAGCACTTTTTTCAGGCATTTTCTGTTTATTATTGTATCTTCATTTCGTGTTCTGTTACCTCGACAAAATTAACTCTGATTTCCCCCCGACCTTTTATCCAGCTGGGGTTCGAAATTACCAGCCAAATGGCAGAGGAAATCCTGCACGCGCGAGGAAGATAAGAATCAAAACTGTCTTCTAAAATAACTGTAAATTGTTTTTCTTGACTTCATGAGTTTTGACCCCCCCGTGTGAAACGCTAGCCGCATCTCCACAATCTTATCAGGATTCGTAAACCTTTTCATTTACAATATCTTTGGTTTTGCGTGATAGGATTCCGACTTTCTGTTAAACGTCTATCGGTGATAATTGAACGGCAAGAAATCTCACTGAAATCACTGTTCAAAACTGGATTATATTTTTCATTTTCGTTTTGATTTAGCTTGACTCAGCTGCGGTAAGTAAATGATTTTTTGTGGTTTATCTTACTGATTGGAAATAAAAGGATAATATTCCAGAAAATTATCCAAATTAACAATCGCTTCTCGAACAAATTGTCCAAATTACTCGCAATCTTTCATTTCGGTTGCCATTTTATTCGCACCACACGCGCTAAAACGCCTCAAGAGAAACGTTATCTTGAAAACAGAATTTTAAGCTATGTGTTGTGCTATTAAATTAAGATTTAGAGATGTCTAATGCTAATTGTCCATTTGCTAATCCTGGAACTTACATTATATGAATCTCTTTTTCATTATCAAGCGATTCTGACAACCAGATAGGCCGCCATTTACTCAGGAATTACAGACAAAAGATGCATTTAAAATGCTTTTACGTCTCTTTAATGTGTGTAAGGAATATAGGCCTTGACAATATGCGTTGATTTTAGTCAAAACTAAATCTGGTCTCAAGCTTTTCCTCTCACTAGGGGGTATCGTTAGAATGGATCGTAGACGGCTCCTTAAATAGCAAATGCCAAATTTAAACTAAAAGGACCTCCAACTCTATCTCATAATTACTTTTCAAAGCTAGGTAGAATTATTTTTCGCGCCAACGTCTTCAAAGTGTGACATCATATTAAAACATCTTAGGCTAAAAAAAACTGTCGAAGGATGACTTAAAAATCTGTGGTAATTCTGTCTGCAACGATCCCACCCAAGATAAAGGGCTCTGAAGCGTGAGTTAGCATAGATGATAGCTTTAAAAACACGAAAAAGGTCAAATGGTACACTGTTGACAGATTCTTCTTATACTCCCAATAGCGTACAGAATTGCCGGTTTTCACATGACGTCATCAAAACATGAAAATCTAAACTATAGATCGTATAAAGACATTTCTAAAGTATGTTTTAGAAGTCAGTTTTATAAGTCACAAGAAAAAATCTCGAGTCATTTCGATGTTTGGTTCCCGAGTTATGAAGGTTGAGTTTGTTTCACACAATACCGTCACGTCTATCTAAATAGCGATGAAAATATTAAAACAATTTACTTTAGTTGAAAGATTTTTCGTTAGACACGTTCAAAATATCTATTTAAAGTATATTTAAGTGAAATGTAGTCAAACATATTAACTATTCCATTACTTTAAGCCTTTGGAGTTTCGTGCGCCATGATGGTGTACCAACTTGGAACACCAAGATGGCCGCCCCATACATTTTAACCAAAAATTGCGTCATGTTTACTCGCCTATAGTTCCGTAACGAAATGCTTTACAGCCTTAAAATTTGGCCAGTATATGTAGTTTGGACCGCTTTACAAGAATATAAAACTTCTATTTCATTATAGTGCGAATTTACGCTTTTGAAATTTATGATGACGTAGGTGAAAACCAAGAATAAACAAAACCGCTCGCACTTTGTACATGATATTACAAATCTGTTTACTATTTGCTCATTGCTTTACGCAAAGGCCACATCATCTATTCAGGAAACGATTGGAATACCATTTTAGTGGGGTTATTTGTAACTGCATTGACGTGATTGGGTCCGACATGTCGCTGAGGCAAATTCGCGATTGACTCAATCTAATGAGGTAAATTAAATCCCACATGGATCGATTATCGGTTCATAGTTTTCCAGTTTTGGCCAATGACCAGGACTATAACATTTTCTTTTGCAAAAAAAAAAATGTCAAAGTGGAATGTCAATTGACAAGCACAAACACACATGACAAACAACCAATTTTGTTTTAACAAAACATGGAAAGTTTGACAGACTAAGTTTTGGATGGTTCTGCGAGGATTAGGATGTTCAAATGTTCAAATCGATGCCATTAGTATGACAGCACTGAAAAGAAATGCAATCTTTTTCTTTCTTTTTTTATTCAGTGATGATCGAAGACTGAATGGAGTAGACTGCATTGCACGATAATCAAAATGACTAAAAATTCAATGTGATTTGTATACAACTAGGAAATGAGTGCGATTTTTCTCGTTGCATGACACGACATTTGAAAATCCAATAAAATGTTTCACCAATCACTGCGAGAGTGATATTGAATATGATTGAAAACATCAACTTTACAAAGAAGTTAATTCAAAGAACGAGACTAAGTAGTTAAGGATTTCCTGATTAATACCACTAAATCGGTATGGCCTCTTTATAAGACAAAGCAGCAATTTCTTTAATACATTCTATTATGAAATAAAGATTGATATGAATTACTAGGGCCACTGGATTGGTCTTTATTGGTCAGATGTCTCTCTGATATCCCACAGATTACTTAATAGCTTTTCGGCTCGGAGGAACTAACGCATCATGCAAGCTTGTGTTTTGTTTTTTTTTTTAGCTTTCTTCTCGTTTAACTTTGGCAAAAATTCAAGAAATCAGAATTCTAATTTAGGTCAGGGAGTAGGTATCTCAAAGGTCATCGTGAGACTGATACAATTGAGCTATTGGTAGACTCCGTGTCAGACGACGGAAGCCGAATATTGTGGCTCCCCATGACGTCCTGTTATAAAGAATTTAGAAATCTTCGCGCAACATTTCGAAGAAGATACAATCATCCCACGAAATGTGAAACGCGAAAAAAAGGGAAAAAAATTAAGGCATAATTTAGCTCACGCCTACTAAATTGCTTTATCGTACGTACTTGTTATGAAGGATTTAGAATCATTTGTTTATCATGAACGTGACAAGATCGCGCGTCATTCACTAAGTCATTTTTCTTTTCAAATATTAAAGAACATTAGTGGTAGATTCTAACAGTTTTCTAAGTGATTTTAGCGTTAGTAATCTCTTATCACACAGAGGTGAGGTTTCACTGCAAAGTTTTTCGGGTGTTTTGTTTACCATCGGTTGTTAAGTCATAAGCTACTTTGATCTATCGTCACTTTATGCCTAATAATACGTTATGTACAAATATATATTCAATTTACTACTGATATTTAGTATTTATCGTGGTAGACTAAGAGGATCCAGAAAAACTTCTTACAAGTTTTTGAATCTTAAATTAAGGATAAATTATATTCGTTAAACTGTACCTTAACTTCGTAATTATGTATTAGTAATAATTAAGTATTGTTGAGGCGTTCCAGATTCTCATTTGCAAGTAATCATTCTTTTATTGGGTAAACAATGGCCGTCAATTGCATTCATATTCAAATAATCTCCGTTACGTTTATTGATCTATAGAGGATGCGGGGGGAGGTGGATGCTAATGCGCATAATAACTTTATTTAAAGCAGTTTTTGTGACTGATCTTGTATTGTACTAGCGGTCACGCTGCGGTGAGCCTACCCTGAGAGACTCCACTCCCATACCACCCTCTTGGGCTGCTGAACATTTCAACCCAAGCCATTGACCCCGCACAGCTCAGCTTCAGCGTTCTTCTACGCACGAATCCAAAGCAATTCAACGTTTTAATTTACCAGGAGAAAGTAAAGAGTTGGAGCAATTGTATGCCCCTACCCCTCCCTACTGAATAGTAATCGAGTGACCTTTGAGTAAATACCAACGACAACAGTGCTAGCAATCTAGCATTGAGTGACAACTTCAGTCGCTTCGCGCAAGACTGAGTGTTAAAGGGAACGTGTAGGACGCTTTGAATCAGTGCGTAAAACCAAACCACAATCGTCTATTCAACACAGCCCATACCAAAGGATGGAATATACTTAAGAAAGCCCGGTCAGTGCTGTTGTGTTATCTTGATTTCAGAAACAGGAAAAGAGACAAGATTGTGGCGGAATGTCCATACGTAGTATCAGTCGAAAAGCGGGAATCTGTTCTGCAGATATTACTCGCGTCATGTACATTTATGTTTTGCTGGCCTTATTCATTCATTTAGGTGAGTTATTCTGTATCTTTTGGTTGTGTTTTAGTGATGGCTTTTCGTAGCATGGCTAGAACAGTGTTAGGAGTTTTTGTTGTGGTGGTATTAGATATTATTTTGGTGTTTTGATTACTACAGGAAAAGTGGACGCGGACATCACGGTGAAAGCGGATAAGTCCCTTGCTGAAGTGAACGTTGGAAGACAAGTTTCACTAGTTTGGAGTTACGATACAGATCAACAACCCTACGAGGCAGTTCTCTGGGGTAAAGGAGATTCAAGGGGCATCAATTTTGAAGATATTTACTTCATAAAAACTCCACAACAACGGACGCCAGTACTTGATACGAAAATATCTCCAGACACAGCATCTCGTGTGAAAATAACTAACCGGGCCACGCTTGTTATCTCGAATGCAAAATACACCGATAGAGGATACTACATTTGCGAAGTGAGAAGTGATTTTGTAACCCTCAAAAAGAAAATCTTTCTCGAAGTTTATGGTAAGTAAATACATAATAATTACGCATATAAGACTCCTTTATTTGCTTCTCTTATTTTGAGAGACTCATCTTCAGTCCTTGAAGCGCTATTTTTATATGAGGAATTTATCTTCGATGTTTTTAGTGTCCGGCTCAGCTGTATGGAAAACCCAATAAACACTTTTTCGATCGGGGAAAGGTGTTCGATGCGGCGATAGGAAGTAATAACCTATTTGGTGGAATACTTTTGATGACATTTTTAAACACAATCCTTCTCGGTTGTGGATTTGGTTTGTTTTAACGTCTTTGAATATGTTCCCATCACTAGATATCGCACCTGATAAGCCATAAATTACGCGGTCAGACTTTTTAGGTCATTTTTCTGCTAGCCATAGACCAAAGCTTATCTGAGCCGGTAAATATAAACGTGCTAAATTAGTATTTTTCGAACAAGGATTCTATTATTCTCGATAAAGTGATGGAATTCAAAACCGGACACACCATTGATTTTTTTCGGACGCTTAGGATTTCGATGGATCATAGATCAAGAGATTGTAAGTTTGGTTAGAGAGCGTGGAAAAAAATACTACTTTGAGCATCGAAATTAACGGGTACCAAAGGGAGTATTAATAAGTCTGTTAGTCTCTCTCACCCGCAGGAAACCTCATTTTTCTTTAGAGCAGGTGAAAGCATAAAACGTTTTAGGATTCCCGACTGTGCAATGCTCAAGAACTTCACGTTTTTTAGTGTTATCTTTGTTACATCGTTCGCGCATTAAAATCTAGAAATAATACATTTGAATGATTATTTTAAATACTGTTGACAAGTGCCAACAGCATTCTCGCGTTAGGTTTCTTTATTTACACAAAAAATTTCATTGTTAGAAAGTGTTCTAGATGAACAAATGTAAATAGATTGTCACTTACGAAGAACTAGGAATAATTTGTGCGTAATTCGAGAATCGCGGTGTTCGTCCTCCACCAAAGCGCCCTCAACATCCAACATTTCCCTCCAATAATCATTATTTTTGATTTACTTTCATTAAAAAAGTACTGATCCTCTTCCGCTACGGATTTTTTCAATTTGTTCCATACAACATTTGGTTTTTATTTATTGGGTTTTCCATAAGCTCGAGTCAAATATCCTGAATTTGTTTATGCGTCTTATTATGCCTCATAAAATCTTTAATTTTCAGCGTACATTTATAACTTACTTTGGCACTACTTCATAATGTCCAATTCATAAACAGAGTATTTTGATAGTTGGGGAAATTGGTTGGTCAAACTTCCGATACTATATCGCTTTTATTTCCGTCCTTAAATCCAGATTTCCAGTGTTTTTCAAGTTACATTTAGTTAATATGCCTTATTTTTTTGGGATTTTTATCCATTGTTATAATTTGGATAAACTGCTAAGTGTCTCGTTTAATTGAGCAAAGACAAAAGCCCTCTGTTAGAATACATAAAACGCATGACCAAGCGACTCACAACTAATCCTTTTACCGTGACTCATTATACACAGATAAAAGAAAGACGCGAAATGGATCGAAACGAAAAAAACCTGACTGTACGTTTCATTATCAAAACAATCCCAGAACCCATTTTAGTGCAATTATGTATTTTTTCCAACAAGGCAAAACCATAGTTGAGAAAACCTTTTGAGTTGAGATTATCTTTTCTTGAATTTAAAAAATCCCCCCTAATGCATCCAAACGCACTTACTTCATCATTGCTCTATTGTTTTGCCTTCAGGATAATTTGAGCTTTCTTTAGACTAACTTTTGCCTTTTTGTGGACCTATAATGGGACCATTGTGGACCATTGTGGACTATAAATCATAATCATATGGGACCGTTTTGGACCTGTTTGGACCTGTCTGGAAGTTCATGACACAAAACTACTGACCTTACTTTAGCCTAAAAATCTGTTCTTAGCTTGAGTTTTTTCTTGAGGTTTTTTATATGTAGAGTCAATGATGCTATTAACCCAGAGAAAAAGATGGATAAAGGGAAGGGATGAGAGAACTGGTATGAATGGGAAATTAAAATGGGTAGAAAAGATATGTATAAAAATTCCATCCAAAATAAGTTTTTCCGTTTTTGCAGGATAGTAAAATTTCTCCCCACTTTGATAACAATAGTAATGTTGAAATTAAAAAAAGGGCTTTGGGAGCAGAGGAGGAGGAGAAAAAAGGAATAATGGAAATAAAATGTGTTGAAAATCTTAAATTTCGACACACAAATTAGAAAGAATTGTCGAAATAGCTTTTTGTTGAATTTGGTGAATAACTTTCTGAAGCAATCATCAATAATAAGGATTTACCAAGTGTTAATTTGAAGTCAGTGTACATACTGTCCTAACATTTTGACACCTTTTTCACTCACATGTACACTCTATACAAATGTGTAAATGTTTCAAAATTTAAGGGTCATTTTCGTTACCTAAAATATTACGATTATCAGAAAAGAAATCATTTAGGAAATTTTCAAATATAGTGATAAAAATTAGCAGCGTAATATAGATCTAGTCAAGAAAAAAAATATGGCAAATAATTGTTTAGAAGATTTCTAGTGATTCTGAGCCAAAGAATTAAGATTGTACCTTGTTCAATTACGAGCAATCAAGCACCTTGTTATATCTTATTACTTACATTGGATTTCAATGTTGCAGTACTCAACAATTTTCATAGAAATGGAATCTCGATCTTGCTAGCATGGTATACACAAAACAGAATGACCACAGGATGTTGAAATTTTTATGACTGTTTTGAGGAGTGACGGTAGTTTTATTATGTTGGCATTGTTAGTTAATATTTTGAAGGAATAGATTTCTTTTTGAGTTTGAATATGTATGGGTATATATTTATTTCTGGTAATAATCCTGACATATAGGTAATCAGGGGAAAAAGGTCATGATTCTATGGTTAGCCACAAAACCAAATCCTTAAATATCATCCTCTAATATAGTACGGACAAATATATATCAAATCCATAGCAGATGTGACAAAATTACTCCTGTCTTTCAYATTTAAATTAAATAGTACATGTTTTTAAATTTGAGTTACAAAAATCAGTACATTTTAAGAAATTTTTCGACAAAACTTTAATTTTATCTAAAACATTAAGAAAACATTTCTTACTTAAATTTAAAATCACTATCCTGCAAAGCTATTCATTTTAATTTGAAACAACTTCTTATTTCTGTTATGTTCTAATAATTCTTACAAATTAATATTTAAAATATTTAGAGAAAAATATTCAAACCATCTCTTAAATGGAGATGACTTACCTATGAAGATTAAAAACCTTGACTATAATAATAATAATAATAATAATAATAATTATTAT